TGCTATACTGCCACGTTGCTCAACTGCACTTTTCAGCATTGGGGTGTAACAGTTTTTCCAAAGCTTTACTATTCTTTCAAAGTACAGAACAAGTGTAACTAAAACAAACAAATCCGGTGAAGCATGTGCAACTCAAAGATGTGTACAGAGATGCCGAGTGGTTTGGTGGCACTTTCTCTGATATGCTCAAGGAAAGTTATGGGGGGTGGTGTTGGAAATTGTATTTCTAATCAGTGAGGATACCCTCAGGGTCTGGCCCAGACTCGATCACTGTGAGCGATCTAAAATTTACTAACGCCTGCCAAGTACATGCCTCGCATTCCTGTCTGAATGCAGGCGTACCTGCAAAATGGAGAATGACAACGCTTGGCCCGCTGGTATTCCTAGATTCCTTCTGCCAGTCAGCAAGTACATGTGTATCTCTAAATCAGGAATACATATCCTGTTCTGAAATGAATTAAGATTTGCAGGTTGAGTCTTTTCTTTCCTGTCTGCCCAGGATCCATCCTGGTGTTTCCTCATTTCTTCCCCTGTGCCGCAGGAATGCTGTCGCTGAGGACTTGGGTTTTGTATAAGTTTCCAAGAATATCCTTTAAAGACCGAAGGGTCAAACATGCTGCTGCAGTGTGTGTCTTGATAGGAAGAAAGGCACGGCATCCTCATGGCAAGGTGGGTGAAAAGTTCTGCGGTTTGGGATAGAGGAGCTTTCAGTTGATCTAATGCTAATTGGATCTGATCCTTGTCTGGAAATTAGGTGGCAATTCTCCCAAGAACACGTGCTTTGTGTGTTTTCCAGCCTTTCTGGCTTTTACTCATGGAAGGATTAGTTCACCAGGTGGGCGACTTTCCTGTTGTTCTGGAATTATTGCTAATGAGGGAATACGTCAGATCCCCCCAACTTCATCTGATTACGAGTTGAATTGCAACAAAAATGATTTAGGTTAGAGATAAGGAAAGCTTTTCTAACCGTGAAGCACTCGAATGGATCACCTAGATATCCTTAAGAGCAGGGTAGGCAAACCTCAGATATGGTTCAGGCAAAGCTCATCCTGCTGTAGGGCCAGAGGGATGAACAAAGACGGCTTCCCAAAGGCTCTCCGAATCCTGTTTTCTGTGATTTTCCATCTGAAACCTCACCAAAAACGACAGGCCAAAACTCTGAAAAGCAAAGTTTCACCTGCTGCATTCTGGAAACATTGCATGGAATCTCTTTGCCTGCAGCTTGATCTGCGGTTTCTCTTCAGGCTGGTCGTGGTATCATTTCTTGCAGAGGATAACACCCTGGAGCAAAGAATGCATGCACGCTTCAGATTTATAAGGGCTCCTCGAGACTGAGGGGTAATTTCCTTGAATTAATATTGGCCCAAGCTGACTTTCGTATTACTGCCTCCTGAGCGGCCTATGCAATGGAAGGCATTTGCAGCCTTTTGCTGTTTAATTCATTTTACTGCTATGGTGCAGGGTGCAGTAGATATTACTGAAAGAATGATTGCACATTGCCAGTATTTTCTCCACACCTTAAATTTCCTACTTCATTTCCAAATGTATGATTTTGGTCATGATAGGAAGCTGATGAAAATAGAAAATTCATACTGTACTTAACAAGAAAGTGATAGCATGTTACAAAGGTACGGGACTGGGAATCAAGCGTCTGTTGCTATATAGCGGAAGTTTAGTCACAATTTATCTACTTGCAGAATGGAGGTAGTAGTTGTTATTATCCCACACTCTGGAGCCCCAAGGCTTAAAACTTTTGCAATCATTTGAGGGAGGCAGCTATGGATGTGCAAAGTATTCTCTCTTCTGTTAACAGGACTGGAAAATTGCATGAGCTTGATGGATAAAGAAGCAATAATTGTTGGATATGGGACAAGGGAAATATTTGACCACTGGTTTTGTCTCAAACGCTAAATGGAGAACACTTGTCTCTAATCTTAGGTCAAACAGTCGCAGTTTTCAGACGCTTCCCCTAGATACCCACTGATATCACGCAAGCACCGTTGCAGATTTGAATAAAAGGTCAAACAGAGAACAAAACAGGCATCAATTCCTTCATAAATCTACTTTGCTGAAGCACTACAAAATACAACTCTAATAAGAGCCACGTCACTGAGGTTGACAGACGCTATTGCCAGAAGGTGCCTTGTGCAGGCCATTGGACCTTTGCTACAGGAAATGCCATCATGAGTTTCCTTCAGAGTCCAGTCAAGAAGGCGCCTGACCCTGTGGCCTAGTGGTTAAAGCACTCAGCTGGAAGGAGAGACACTTGGATTCGAGCTCAGGATGCTATCTGGTGTTTTGTTTTGTTGCAGCAGGAGCGATAGATATGAGGGGGGTCCCAACCTGCAGGTGAGAGTGTCGCCTGGGCCAGGGTGGGAGATTGAACCCAGGTCTGCAAGGCCTTGGGCAAACGCTTTGGCAGCTCGACTAGCGGTAGTCCTACCTGGTTGATAGTGCTGCCATCTTCCCCGCTGGCACTTTAAAAAGCAGCCATGCCTGTCCTTTACAATAGCCCAACATTGCAGAGTATTACCGGCACTCTAGGTACACCTACGGGATGGGTCCCTGTGTGACTCATGCACTATTCTGCTTTGGTTTTGGATCTCACCGGAGTTTAAATACAGAGTAGGCAGCAAGGATTAGGCTAGGGTATTTCTAGTCATAGTTATAATACTTAGAAAACTTGTCTGGCTGTGACTGACAGGCTGATACAGATTTAGCTGCAGTACTTCTAAGATATTATCTGGCCTCAGCACTCCTCTCTGTCCCTCTGTAGGAATTTAGCACCCCTGTTAAAGGGGGAAGCAGAACAAACCCACTGCAGAAAACTGAATAAACCAGAGGGACGGAGGATTTGCACCTAGAACTGAATTTGGGATGTACTTTGCTTCCTCTGCTGCAGGGCTGGCAGAGGAAGTGGTGCCCATGGGGATGTGGCGGTATCTTTTGTGGCCTCCACTCATCCCTCGGGTCAATCCGGGCAAGCGCTTGCTCATTTTAGATGCTTCAGCAGCCAGGGGAAGGAGGAGTCAGCGCTGGATCACATCTCTCTACTTCAGCTCCTAAAGTCTCCTAAAGGCACTTAATGTCCTTTTTTGGGTCCTTATGGGCAAACGTTCCCTCCTGGGGCTGTCAAACGCTGACTGTGGACGTTAAAGCTGGTAATGGGTAAGACTGTAAACATTATCTGAAAGTTCACAGCAAACTCCTGTATTGTTAAAATGAAATACATTTAAAGTGCTTAAAACCTCATCCCGAAATCTCTTTCCAAGTGAGTAAGGCTTGGCATGTCTCCCCTGCACAGCCTGAATGAATGCAAGGTAACCCTTCTGTCTTTGCTGTCTCTTCAGTGCAAACGCAGTCGCCTGATACAAAACTGCAAATTTCTAACGTAGCTATTTAAAGGGTAACATTCCATTATAAAAATAATCACACTCAAATCCAAATTATTTTAATTGCAGTCGTTATAAATATCCACAAAACAATCAAATTGAAAGAGATTAGAAAATACAGTTTCCCTTCCCCCTCTCCTTAGTATGCATGACAGGTTTTGTTTTGACTCTTTGAACAGGCAGCTCCTTAAGCATCGTTTATCCCCCCCCTCCCCCCCAATCTTTTTACGTGTCCCAGCCGAGGAAGAAGAGAGGAAACTTTGATTGGAAAGTCAGCAAGGAGCAAATCAGCAGGGAGCCCCGGGCAAACTTAGGCCCTTTAACCATCTTTGAGTAATCATCCTTTACAGTTCTCCGAGAAGGCTGAATATCCCAAACTGCGGCCCCCCCCCGGGGGGGCGGGGTGCGGCGGGGCCCCCAGCGCGGTGCGGGGTACGGCCGGGGCTGA